CTAAAATTTCACTAAAACTAGGATAAGGAACCTACCCTTCCACATACAGAGGGAAAGACCCAGTGGTTAGAAATTTTCTAAATTTAGATGAGATTTATTTCCCTGTAACTTCTTACTGGTTCTAAATCTGCTCTCTGAAAACAGAATAAATCTGATCTCTTAGTATTTGATGAGCTCTCCTTCTGTTTTCCAGACTAGATGTCATTGGTCACGCACACACACTCACCTGTGGTGTCATGGTTCCCAAAGCATCCGTGATCCTGGACCAGACCTGCCAGGCTTAGTATTTGATAGAGTGTGAGATGTGGCTTGCTTGAGTATCTCTTGTCATTCTACTAAGGGACCTTTAGTAGGTCTCTTTTCTTTCTTCTAAAGGAATAATCTTTTTGTACCTATAATCTGGAAAAAGGAATGGGAAATGCTGTCCATTAATATTATTATACGTAATGACTGAATAATGTTAAAGCGGCTGCTGGGTTACACAAGACCTTATTTCAGTTTCTTTAGCAAATCTCCTGCTCTCTGTAAATTTCATTTCGAAGATAAAGGGATCCTTTCTAAAGATGAAATCTTACAGTTCTAGTTTATATAAAGGCCTGTGTGACACTATGAAAGGTGTTATTAATAAGTAGGCTCAAAATAGGAGCCTTTGACACATTAAGATATAATAATCATGTATCTAAACATAGTCTGAAATAAGAATTAAGACAACTTGAAAAACAAGTTTACAAAAGTCAAGTTATATTTGTGCCATTTTTAATCCTTCCAAAAAAGCTTTCCAAAGAGAGAGAATGTCCAAAAATGTTACATGAAACACTCTTGGATCCCGGTACTCTATGATGACAGAATTTGACTTCAGTGGTGGCAGGAAGGGGGGAGTTTCAAAAAACTTTCATTCTTGCCCCAAATAAATTTGTAATATACAGTCTTTACCCACAACTGTTTAGGATTAGGATATTAGCAATACACTAGAAATATATCTTCTGTTCCTCTAATATGTTTGATCTGCACTTGGGTTCAATGTAACTTAAATACTTAATTCAACTTCAAAATACTTATATTTAAACATTTGGGTTAATAAAAATACGGAGAATTTATTATTTTATTGTATTCGAAGGTCATAAAATGCATAAAGCTTTGGCACTCATGATTTTCCTTTACTGTTTTAGCCCCCAACACTTTTTTTGGTTTAAGATTTAGGGAGCTCTGTTGGTAATGGTGTATTTTTATATTATGTGACATCATTGTGATACATTCAGTCCTTTTTAATGAAAAAGGAAACATAGCAGAACTACAGGATATTTGAATCTCATCAGAAGCTCGAAAAGAAACATTGCAAATAAATACAGAAAAACACATGCAATTTGTGGAGCAATGTGAAAGGCTTGATGAAATATCATGCAGGTATTTGGATGGGAGTTGTTATGCCATGGTTTAGGTACTCCCACTTTCATAATAATCACAGGTGGTAGAATTTTTGAGAGCTGCCTGACCCTTGTGAACTGGAAGGGCTAGTCTGAGACATGTGGGGCCTTATATAGGCCGAAAGCAGGGATTTGTTAAGTGATTGCTGAAGGAATGCATGACTTGTATTGTTATTCAGAGGAGCTTGGGCCTGGCTTTCCCTCCCCACTGTAGAGTAAGCATAGAGCCTTGCAGAGCACATACACAGTCATCAAATACTGAGAGGAAGTGTTGTTGACCTGAGATTAAAGTTGTGCCAACACAGAGGGTGATCTGGGAAGAGCTGTAGCAAAGGATTGCTGGACACTGAAGAAGCCTCAGGTGTCAACAAATATGCTACTGGATTTGACAGAAGGGAAATGAGTAATATTCACCATCCAGAAATGTTTTGGCACTTGGTAGGCCTTGTAATACAAGAAACCCAAGCCCTGCCTTCAGGGCTGTCACAGGGCAGTGTGACACTGCTACACTGGGACACCTCAGGAGGGGGTGCTGGCAGAGCAAAATGGGTCCCTGACCAGGGCCAGTTTCCTTGATTTAGTTTCCCTCACCTTCAACCCATTGTTACTCCTAATTATTATTTTCAATATAACAATTTTTAGAAGTTAAAATAAACCTAAGGGATTGAGTTTCTTACTACTTAAAAGGTGATCCAGGGATAATGGCAAAGCATGAGTTGGGACATCCTAGAAAACACACATTCTTCCTGCAAATGGGCTGCATCCCAGACGGACTGTATCAGAACCTGCATTTTAACCAGTCTTTCCAGGGATTCCTTTTCTAAGTAAAGCTGGAGATGCCTTCACCTAGTTCACTTTCTCCCCTAAGGTCCTCCGACACAGGGCCAGCCAGTGCTAGAACTCAGCCGGTCTGTTTTCTGGTAGCACTTGCATGCTTCCTCTGACATCTGTATTTCCTCACTTACTCTCCTATTGTCCTTTTTTAGTTTTACATATTGTGAGATCTTCACTCTGTCAGTCATGTCTTTCTTTTCTCTCTCTGTCTCCCTTTGATAGTCCTCTGTAAATGTCTCTGAATGAGAGAATGGTAAAGTATACCACACTATGCATCTTTGTACACACACAAAATACACATACATCTAGAAGAAAGAGCAAGTTGGGCATGGTGGTACACAGCTACTTGAAAGTCCAAGCTACTTGGGAGGCTGAGGCAGGAGGATTACTTGAGCCTTATGGGTTCAACACCAAGTTGAACAACATAGATTATTATTATTTTTAAATGTTTTTAGTCACTTAATTTTTGGCAAAAATTTCAACCTATTTTTCTGCTTCTCAGAATTTTCTTTGAAAAATTCAGTAGGAATCCGGTATGTGGTAAGGGGTGAGAAATAATCCATGATCTCAAATATTAAGATCTCCTTAAAGGTGAATTTATTTTCCTTTCACTGTTACATAGATTATCCCATTAACAATACTAGATAGTATTTGCTGTAGCATTTGTGCAGAAGAATATGACATGATGGCAACCCCTCTATGACCTAGAACAAAGCTTTAGGCTTCCGGAGTTTGTCTAAATCAACAAAGGCCCAAGGAGATCAGTGCCTGTGGTTTTTTAGGAGTCTTTTAAAAAATCCTATTATTGTTGTGCTTGGGGTATACTGTGACAGTTACAAAAGGGTTTACAATATATCTTAGTTAAATTCACCCCCTCCATCATTCTTATTGTGGTCCTTGATAGAAGGATATGGTCATAAATGGATAATTAACATAGAAGCATAAAATGACATTAAAAAAGTGAACAATACTGACAAAATCACAGTGGCCTTTGCCAAAAGTCAGCCACACCATCTTGTAAGTCACATTCTTTTTCCTCTTTTTGGTAAGACTGGGGTTTGAGCTCAGAGGTTCATGCTGGCAAAGCAGGCATTCTACCACTTGAGTCACTTCCTCATTGTAAGACATTTGGTATCTCTTCTTTCAGATGTTTTTAGTTTATTTTAAACTCTGGAATGTATGTGATTTCACCATTGTAGCCATAATCTCCAAGAATGGTTCTTCCTTTATAAACTATGAAATAAAATCAGTTTTTCTCCCCCCACCTCCCATATATGATTTTTTTTCAGGCGCTATCACCTTTGTATTTTGGTTTTGGGGCTTTTTTTTTTTTGTCTGTCTGTTTGAGACAGGGTCTCATTATATAGCCCAGTCCCATCTTGAACTCATTATCCCCCTGCCTGAAACTCCCAAGTACTGAAGGACCTTATCTTTTTAACAACTCTGATTTCTTTGAAACCATAGTAATTACAGCACTTCCTCACTCTGGATATTATTTAACTGCTGTGTTTTTAAAAATCTTATTTTCCATTGACAGTATACAGAAAAATATTATATATAAACAGACACACATTTCTTTCTTTATTTTTTTTTCAGTGCTGGGTTTTGAGCCAGGGTCTCCTGCATGGTAAGCAAGCACTCCACCCCCAGCCCAAGATTAGTATAATTTTAAGTAAGGTATTTTAGTGCTCAGTTATCTAACCCAGAACCATTTTGCATGTATAGTTCTCATAAGCAAGACAGTTTACACAGAGGTTTATTGTAATCTGCAATTATGTTAAATTCATTTAGACTGGACTCTAGGAGCTGGCTAAAGGACATATTTTCCTTTATTTTTAAAAATACATTATTTTTCTCAAAGTAGAATATAAAAATGTTTTGCATGTCCAACAATAGACATTAGATTAAAAAATTAAATGTATCTAGCTTTTAGAAATGTAAAAATTAACATATACTTATATAGTAAAAGATGAATTTTTGTTCATCCCATATTTCATTATTATGCTTGTCTTAGAGATGTTATACTTGTGGCAATAGTCTATTATAAAATTTATTCATGGTTGCATATTTGAATATTATGGAATGTATCAGTCTATGGATATTGATTTATTTTACATAATGTATCTGTTTTCACATATGTAAGTTAAGCACACAAATTATTATTCATGAGGAGTAAAATAGAGGCATGATCTTAGTGGAAAAGTATTAAAAAGTCTTGAATATGCTTACGATCTAGATAAATTCTAGACTTATAGTGAGTATTGACCCAGCCCCTCAGGTATCACTGTACTCTTATTTTCGCTCTCTAGAGAGATTCCAGCAAATGGTTTCCATTGCCCCACACCTCTTCTGTCTAATCATGGCCTACTTTAGGGATGACATAAGCTGTTCGGCTTCCACGCTGAACTGATACGTCATGTGCTTACTGTAGATGACAAGTGGTTCCTTAAAATCGTTATTTCCAGTCTTTGAAGTCTTGAGATTAACTTTTAATCTCAAGTTTATCTGCTGTACTTTTGGCACACTTTATCTCTTGTCCTTGTTTCTAAAACATAACAAATACCATAATTTTAAAAAGTTACTTGCAGAAATCAATCTTTTGGCTTTTATACCACTTATTTTTGTTGGTACTCAAGAGCCCCGTACTCGGTGGAATTACAACGCTAAGTTAAACCGTTTTAAAGGGTTCCTTTTGCATAACGTGCTGTTTAGTGACTGTCTCGTCGTTCATTCTCTCTGTAGATAAGCGGGTGGAAGACTGGCCGTTGATGCAGTCCCCGTGGCCCACGCTAAGCATTAGCACCCTCTATCTCCTGTTTGTGTGGCTGGGTCCCAAGTGGATGAAGGACCGGGAACCGTTTCAGATGCGCTTAGTGCTCATTGTCTATAATTTTGGGATGGTTTTGCTTAACCTTTTCATCTTCAGAGAGGTAGGTCTGTTAAGGTCAATCTAAAGTAATTGTCCAGGATTACCAGAAATAAAAAATGTATAATGCTATCATTGTAATCCTGTACCCCAGGATAACTGTTGGGTACACTAAGAGTAAATTTTTGACATTTAAAATGTTAGGATAACAAAAACAGTAGGAAAAAAAAGTAGCAAGCAGAAAGTATAGGATCATTGTTAAAATGGAACTTTCATTCAGAGAATGGATTCTCAAATTACTCTTGCTGTTCTGATGTTAGAAGTTATTTAACTTTTCTTTGCTGCGTTTTCCTCAAGGAAAATATCTACCATCTAGAGTTGCTATCAGAGTGAAATGAGATACTTTTTTCATGGTGTTTGGCACATGTTCAGTTTTCAGGAAACAGTAGCAATTATTTGTTTAAAATCCTTATCAGTTTCAGACTTGGGTAACTGATCAAAATATATAGATATAAATGCCAATTTCAAGTTAAATCCACTTATATGATTTTACTATATTTTGTGTTGGAATGTAAATGAGTTAACTGTCATCCTTGTTTTGTTTTACTTTGTTTTTACTTATTTTTAATCATTTTTGTGGGGCTGGGGATCGAATCCAGGGCCTCTAGCATGCTAGGCAAGTGCTCTACCACTGAGCCACCCCCTGAACCCAAATGAACTGTCATACAGCTGTTGCTCCTAACCATCACATGCCTTCCCGGAAATCAGCAAATTCTCCGTGACATTTTGAAAGGATGTCCTGAGTGCTAGATTGGTACAGTTATTTTTTAAAGCAAGAGTTCTAAGGAAGTTGGGCATGATGGTACATACCTATAATCCCAGAACTCAGGAGGCAGAGATAGGAGGATTTGCCCTGAACTATATAGTAAGACCTATCTCAAAAACAAAACAAAACCAACAATCAAAAGTAGGGTGTAAGGTGTTTGTTCCTAAGACACATCTTAAAATTTTATATGAGCCCAGAGAATTGACAAGTGATGCTAGGAAAATTAATGGTAACCCTTAAAAAAAAAAATCTGTTCTCTGTTGACAGTTTGATCTACAGAATCTCAGCTTGATAAGAACTCTCATTTTCTTTATTTGGATACCTTTACTTACTGTTTAGCTACAGACCACTCTGGATCAAGGACAGAAACAAGTTAAGGCAGGACAGCTCTTGTCTCTGAATCATGGCAACAAAAATTTGTCTTGGTATTTTGAAGTGGATGGAATTGATATCTTGGTCCAAAGATTAAATTGTTTTGTTTTGTTTTGGCAGTACGGGGGCTTGAACTCAGGATTTTGTGCTTGTTAGTCAGGCACTCTACCACTTGAGCCACACCCCCGGCCCTGATTTTTAATTTAGACTTTAGTTATAGGAAAAAAAATTGACATACAATAACTTTTAGAAATTCCAGTGCATTAAATGTGCAGTATGGGGCTGGGAGTGTACCTCTGTAGTGTAGCATGGCCTAGCATGTGTGGGGTCTTGGATTTGATCCCCAGTATGGCAAAAATAGAAAAAAAAAAAAATAGAAGTAGCAAATTAATGTTTAATGCATTTGAAAATTTTGTTGTTGCTGTGCTGGGTGGGGGTACATTGTAGCATTTACAAGGGTTCTTATAATGTATCAAATATGAACTTTTTCTAAAGAAAATACTGCTTTGAAAATAATTTTAAAGACTGTATATCAAATAATTGGAAGGCTGTAATTAATGCTGTATATACTTAAACCTTACTCCAAATATTTTTCCTCTTTCTCCAGTTATTCATGGGATCGTATAATGCAGGATATAGTTATATTTGCCAAACTGTGGATTATTCTAATAACGTTCATGAAGTCAGGGTAAGTATGTTAAAACTACTCTTAGTAAGTTTAAGTAGTGTAATTTTATACTCCCAAGACTATGAAAAAGGTATTTTAGTGTGCTTGCAAAATTAGACTGGATTGTTTGGGGTCAATAAACCTCTGCTTTTTTTAAAGCACAAAATTGAAAATCTGTTTTGTATCTTCAGTATGTTCTTTTATTTGGCAGTATGAGAGTGAATATGCATTGAATTACTAGAATGTAGTACGTACATTGTATTTATGAAGTTAAACATAGCATAATTTGTATAGGTATATCTTGGGTCTTTTTTAAACTTGGAGAAAAATCACTAGTAATATAATATTTTATTTTCCAATCACATTTATTAGTAAAATTACCATTTAACATAAGTGGAAGAACTACCAAGTTATTTTATTAAGTATTTAATGAACTCTTATACAGTGGTTCACATAAAAATTAAGTATAATAAAATGTGTTTTTTGTGATATGCAGTTGTAATATATGGTAGCTTCCATTAAGAAAAATAGCTTTCAGGCATGGAATATAGTCAATATACCTATCAGTGTTTATCAAGATCCGTGACCAATTTACTTTAATGTACTCACCATTTTATGTGCATGTTTAATGAAAATCACCCCTGTGGTTGTCATGTTGGTTTTATTCACTTAATACCTGTGTACTGAGCATGATACTGTGAGGGGTCCTGAGGACACCAAGGTGAGAAGACAGGAGGTCTCTGCACCTTCACGGAGCTGACATTTTAGTGAGGACAGCAAGGCAGGCAGTTAGCATGTAAAGAAATAGGTAAGAAAATAAAACCCATGATGTGGCTGAGAGAATGAGGAGGTCTACTGAGTTTAGATTTGCTGGCTAGGAAAATTTTTTTTCTGATGACCATATTGCTAGTTATCTTCTTAGTAGAGAAGTGGCATCTTGCTTGATTGAGACAATGGGAGAGGAGAAGTGTCTGACTTGCTTTCTGGGCTGGGGCCTGGGTCAAGCAGTAGAGTGCCTGCCTAAGTTCAAAACTGTCACTCTTACTAATTGTGAGCCTACTCTTCTGACATGACAAACTTTGAGTAAAAAGTGAGCTACTACACAAACTGTAATCTAGGAGGAGAAAGAGCCTGAGCTGTAACAGACTGCGTTTGTAATCTTTTTGCTCCCCTCTCCTGTCCAACACCAGAGCCAATAGAATGAATGCTTTGCTCAGAGACTCAGTTTCGTGTTCACTGTTATGGAATCAAGAGGTATCACTTTTCACTTTGGTGTAGCCTATTCAAAGACAGCTAGTGGGGTTTACAAACTAAGGAAAATTATTTCTTATTTATTTATTAATTAACAATAAATATTAATTTATTATAAACATTAATTTAAATATTTAATATTTTAATATTTATTTATTTAAATATTAAAATATTAAATAATATTAAACAAAATATCAAAATTTAGTGTTTAATGTTATAACTATTAATTTATCATATTAATAAAAATAAATATTAATAAGCAAATGATAAATTTATTATTTATTTATTAAAATTCTATGGGAACTGTAGCTAGTGTAGCACAAATGGAAGGAAAAAAATAATACATTGTCTCCTTCCTCCAGGATAAAGTTTTCTGGGTCAAAATGGTTTTAGTTACTTTAAAGTAACATAATTGTGAGTCCTAAGTATAGTGTTGACGTGAGTAAATTATTGCAAGCCCATTTTCAGCTAGTCTTATTATTTTCAATAATATTGCTCAAGCAAATTCACTAAATGATTCTAAACCAATAAATACACAGCTTTATTTTTTTTTAATTTGGCCTCTCTCTTTGTTCTTTATCCACATTTTAAAATTCTAATTTTGGGGAAATGGACTGAAGTGTTGCTCAATTCTAGAATTGAAAATAAAACTAATTAAGATTTTTAAATTAGCACAAGGCCATATGTTTTATTGCCAGCTCTAATAAACAATAAATAAATAAAACAGCAAAAATCCAAAACATGCAAACAAAAACTCATTACACCCCCTAGATGCAGGTATAAAATGAGGAAGGGATCTTCCAATTCTATAACCCCTCAGCCTGTCCCTGAATGAATCTGTCAAGCCTCTGACAGAAAAATGTTTACAAATAGATTTCAGTTATGTACTACCTTATTTGTTATTTTTACATAGAAAACTTGCACTTGCTATAAAAAGTTATGTTTCAATTACTGTGATAATAAGATCCTTTGCAAAGTATTTTTAGATATACATACCGAGGTCACCTCTTACTAGATCCTTAATCTCAGCACCATCTGGTGCCTTAATTAGAGCCCAGGAAAAGACTAATTCACGTAAGCAGGATTATATTTATGACCTAGGAAATATTTGGGGTATTTTTGGTTTTGTTTTACCACTTTACAAGTTTTACTATCCAACACAAACTGCTATGATTGGATATCTTGTATGTGCCTTTTAAAGAAGAGGGAAAGACTGACAGTGGCTTCATGAGTTTACTTCCTGTAAATTTGTCTGAGGTATAGTGTAGGTTCTGCACAAAGGTTTGAAATACCTTTATAAAGTAAACATGTTTGTTTCTCTATCAAATTGAAAGCATAGCAATGTGAATGTGTTCACAGCTCAGTATTCAACAATTCCCACACTGTGTGATATTCACCTGTGTAAAACACTGAAAATTCTCTCTAGATAGTTGTTACTGAGTAGAGATAAGTGTTGGAGTCTCTCTTTTCCATCCCCCACCCCCCCATATACAGGCTTAGTTTTCAGACCTACTTAGCCAAAAAAACAAAAAAGATTCAATGTACATTTTTGTGTAATATATTTTGAATCTATTAACACTTTTAGAAGCCCACACAACAGTGTGATTTGGGTGTTTATAGTATGCTTTTCCTTCCTTTTACAGATAGCTGCTGCTTTGTGGTGGTACTTTGTATCTAAAGGGGTTGAGTATTTGGACACAGTGTTTTTTATTCTGAGGAAGAAAAACAACCAAGTTTCTTTCCTTCATGTCTATCATCACTGCACAATGTTTACATTGTGGTGGATTGGAATTAAGTGGGTTGCAGGGGGACAAGGTGAGCAATGTATCTGCATGTATTAAATTATGTAAATACGTTGGCTGGAAAGGAGTGAGAGCCTGGGAGTTTTAATTGGTCTGTCATTTAACTTGCTTTCATGGTTAATCATACCCATCCATGTTCATTTTATTTTTAAAAATTTCAAAGAAAGAAAAGCTTCAGCTTTCAATCTGTGAATGCTTTTAACACCTAAGAATTTGCTTTAGAGATGAGCATAAACCAAGCCTACATGTAAAAAATAATATTTTGATGGGGAACAGTACTAGTCAGGATCTCTTATCCAAAGGATACCACAACACAACTCAGAGTAATGATTGAACTTCATTCCGAGCTCACCTCTACTCTATTACAGGCCTTACGTGACCTTATTCGTTCTTCTTTAAATGAAATTTTATATAGCATTGTTAGTGTTAAGGAGGGTGTGCATTCACAGTCTGGCCAGCATTTGCTTCCAGTCTTTTCAGATGCCTGTGGATTGAGGATGATCCACACCATTGTCCTCTGGTGGGGTGCAGGGTACAAGTCCCCTAGTGCAGATCACTCTGCTGTTTTCTTTCCATTGTCATGTGCAATGGACAATTTAGGCATTTCACTCCCATAAATTACTTTTAGGGTCCAATTTAAAACCACACAAAGTCCAACTTGGTAAGCTTAAAAAAATTAGTAAGTCTGAACTGACTTGTTAAATTGCTTTATAACAAGATTTATTATTGCAGTCTATACTTTGATTTAATAAATGAAGGAATATTGATTTAGGCTGACTGGGATATCTCTGTAGATATGTATATACTGAACGTATTGCCCAGTGTGGGTGCTGCTGTCATATTTAAAGCTACGTAGAAACCTAAGAAATAAGTAACATTTGTCACTGGTATTCCTGTTGGCACAGCTGTGACAGTAATGGAACATTTACAAGTCTACTTACATACTTAGATATACCATAATTTTTCCCCCTAAGAATAGTAGAATTAAAAGCAGTGTAGGCAAGATTGCTATATTGGGGCTTACTTAAGTTCACTTTGAAAGTTCTTGGCATTTGAGCAACACACATTTTTATTTGTCCGATAAAAATCTCAAATCTAAACCTTAAAACTATCTAGCTTAATTTGAGAGAAGTCTTTTTCATTGGTATCACTTTATCTGTACTTAACTCGATTAAGAAAATAATGTGAATTCATGTTTTAGCTCAGTGTTTCATTACCTAACCACATTTTCTGCAATCGCTTCTTATTTTCTCTAAAGCATTTTTTGGAGCCCAGATGAATTCCTTTATCCACGTGATTATGTACTCATACTATGGGCTAACTGCCTTTGGCCCGTGGATTCAGAAGTATCTTTGGTGGAAACGATACCTGACCATGTTGCAGCTGGTGAGTCAAATGCTTCTAAAATTTCTTCTGGTTTTCACCAAAATATTTCACTTAAAATATCTGTAAAGTACTAAGTTGCTTTAGATAATTTTCCGTCATAAAATTAAACTTATCCTTTAGCATAGGCCTTGGCTCTAACCTACATATTCTTGGGTTTGTTGCATAGCCAGCCACTTGCTTAAAAAACTAGACTCAGCACCTATCCCTCGAAGGAAAACATGCTTTAAAAAATACCTGTAGAGTGGATGGTTAAAAAAAACCTCTAAGCACACCACAAAGTATACAGATTCATGAATGACTAGAAAAAACAGTATTTTTTTCCTGGAGTGATTTTTTTTTTTAACGTGAAATTTTTATTTTTTTGTCTTCATCTTGTCCTTGCTTAAATTTTCTGCATTTTCTTCCAATTTTTAGTCCTTGTGAATAGATTCCATACACTTAGAATGTAAAATTGAAAAGAAGATAAGAGATAAGGAAAGGTAGAGTGAAAGAAGGGAGTAAGGGTCAGAGAATATCTTTTAATTCTCTAAAACTCTGTCCTTGAAGAACAGAGCCAGGTATGTTCACATGCTGTATTCATAGTAGATGCTTTTCAACACCTGCTCCGAGCAGGACTTGTAGTGTCTGAGTGCACCTGTCAGAGCACTGTTCAGAGCTAGGTACTGGCATGTAATCAAACTGAAAATCCAAAACCAAACTGGTAAGTTAATCTCCAGGCTCTAGAATCTATTATAATTTGCTTTAATTATAGTTTGTACAGAGTTTTATCAGTGGAATCACATTTGGAAATATCCATCTCTGCCTTAAGTTGCTAAACAGCTGTCTAGCCAAACAGGAAACACAACTTTTGGAAACGCTAGGCACGAAGGACTCATTTATAATGAAATGCCACAGGAAGCTTCCTCCAGTTTTTGTATAACAGCTGTTTATACAGTTTGTATAGCTCATTTCTTTCATCAACTAGTGAATGGTCCTCAGAAATGAAGAGGTGACCAAAACCACTTGAACTATTACATCAGCTTGGTTGGAGCCCCTGGCTCTCCTTGAGCTATACCATGCTCAGATCACACCCTACTACACACCCTTCTGCAGTGGCACAGGTTCTAAGAACCATTGTGAAACCAAAAGCTCTTAAAATTTGGATTTTTGCCATGGGAATTGTAAAAGTTGTTTAATATAAATTTCTGACAATGTGGAATAAGTTATTTTCAATAATATTTAATATAACAGTATTGATAATGATAGTCTTAAAAAAGAAGTTGTAATTGCCCATTCCAAACAGGATGTTGAATTTGTATTTCAAAGCCAGAAGTTCTTATAAGTTAATCATACAAGAATCTTATAGGAATTAATTAACCCTTGTTGTTTCCAACATAAGAATTGCAAATTCTATAATAACAAGGGTTAATTAATACATCAGAATTTAGAATTTAGGATTGGAGGTGTGGTTCAGTGGTAGAGCGGCTATCTAGAATTTAAAACTTTTTATTTTGAGCCTCTGAGTTTTACATTTTTTTCTTTTTAAGAAGTCTTAAAGTCAATGGTAATTCTTTTTGCACTCATTCTCAAACATCTACTAATTGTAATCAGTGTATTAGTTTTTCAAAACCAATTCATTCAGATGAAAATTCTCCTGTCTACTATATGTAAGAAATAACTAACAAAATGAGCCATTTTGGTAAGTTCATTTTTAAAGAAATATGTATGTGCTTGCTGACAATTTGGTACAAAAAAATCAGTTCAAAATGTAGGAGGGGAAAAAATTGAACATCATACAAAGCCAAGAATCATATGGGAATCATCAGTGAGCAATAGAAATATGAAGTACATCTCTAATGATAAGACAGACCTTACTTACACAAGTCAATTTCAGATTCTAATGGGAAACTAAACAAAGCACAGCCCTCTGTGGTTAGTGGGATTGAAAGGCCTGTGGAAGGCACCACAAGGAAGTCCTTGCTGAGGGAAGACATTCAAACTATGGCCTTAATGAATTGGAACCAGAATTTAGTTTTTAAATGTTGCAAAATTTGGGCTCCTATAAGCATGTAGAAGATCACAATGTTTGCTATTCTGATTAAATGCTGTTTTTGGTTTTTAGGTTCAGTTCCATGTGACCATTGGACACACAGCACTGTCTCTTTACACCGACTGCCCCTTCCCCAAATGGATGCACTGGGCTCTAATCGTCTATGCAATCAGCTTCATATTTCTCTTTCTCAACTTCTACATTCGGACATACAATGAGCCTAAGAAAGCAAAAACTGGAAAAGTAGCCATGAATGGTATTTCAGCAAATGGTGTGAACAAATCAGAAAAACAGCTAGTGTTAGAAAATGGAAAAAACCAGAAAAATGGAAAAGCAAAAGGAGAGTAAATTGAACTGGGCCTTAACTGTGGCTGACAGTGAGGAAATTCCTATGTCATATAAAATTTCAGGGCAACAGAAGCAAAGGAGGGTTTGGGGTGGGGAGAAAAGGCATATGTGCTCTGTGTACTGGTGACCTTTAGACTGACTAAAGTGTTCAATACAATACCCAGATGTTTTATTTATAAAGTTTTTATTTTAAACCTTTTTTTTTTTTATTAGCCTTGATATTGTCCAGACCAAAGCAGTCACAATGTGACTTTGGAGACTCTCTTTCTATTCATTGTCCATTTGTCCAATGGGTGAAATTTTCTCATGAATCTAATATTCACTGATTGTTCAATCTGGATTTTAGATGATCACAGAAACACAGTCTTTATGAGTTCACTTTTTGGCTAAATGACCATTACCTACTGATTAAAATCAGTAACCTCACATTTTCTTGTCCAAAGACAGAAATGTGGATGGGGACATTTGAATTTGTGCTTTTGAATTCATTTATTGACCATTGTGGTTGAATCTCTCCACCTCAGAATATACCCTTTTGGTTGTAATTAAATTTAAAAAATCTGCTGATCTCTGTAGACTCTTAGAGGCTTGATGATGATGGTGTTGGTGAAAATAAGAAAGAATAAAATACTGTTTAGTAAAATCCTGTCTAGTGACCCAAAGGTCACCATGACTTGCAGCACAAATCACTGTGGGAAACGATTTTTGTGATGAAAAGGCAGCCTTTGAATACTCCAATACATTATGAAAATTAAGATTATTGTCTGATTAAAACATGAAGCAACTCATGTCTTTATTAATAACATCATAAGATAGTTACATTTATTTGCAGTTAGAATTCCCAGAGTATGTTGATTTTTATCAGGCTTTCCTTGTTTTGATTTGTGGCTGTTACTGATTTTTCATATATAGAAATATACCTACCTCTTCTGTTGGAAAGAACATTTAAAATTAAATAAATTTTAATTTAAAAAATCAAGGAGTCCTCTAATGTAAATTCTAACTTTTGAACTTTCAAATCCACAAGTATTTTTTTTTGACTTTTTTACAAATAGCATACACCAAACATTTTTGTGAAATTGTCCTTCTCTTTCAGTGTTTTAATTTTGGAATAATATTTCCCATGTGTCTGAGTTTTGCAAAATCTTATTTATTTACTAGACATGAAGCATAGAACTATTTGGGTGCAATATTCTTGACTCCTTGGTGCTAAAGATAGTTAAATTCAGTGCTGATGTTACAAGGTGTTAATTGTTAAAACAGTGAGAGTAGACAGAACTAAGTTAAATTTGCTATTTGCAAATGAAATATTTCATGTAGTAGAAATGAGCAGCTGGAAATAAAGTGAAAAACAGAATTTGTACCATGTTTTATTACATAGATTAATTTGTTAGGGGATGCCACAGAGGGATCACTATAGAAAGAGAAAATGTGACAAAATAGCATGAATATTTGTAAGTATCTCAACATGTCAAAGACTGCATGTGTAGGATGTATGCTGTTTGTAAAACTATTTCAGAATATTTTGTAAACTATAAAATATTTATTGTGCATTAAAATTATATACTTTTCCCCCAAGGCATGCAGTCATGAGAATTACAAAAAATTCGTGACACATATACAGTAGTTTGGCCTAAGAAGATTCAGCACTGTTGTCTTTGTTCCTCAGTGTGTGATGACTAGAGATTTTTAATCTTTGTGAACATTCTGTACTGATTTTGCAGAGCTATTCATTCCAGGCTACCTGATTTCAGCACAATAAATATATACTGCTGTAGGAAAAATGGTTTTTTTTTGTTAGTTTATTATGATGTAAATTGTCTGCTAGATGTTTATATTTATATGATTATTAATGTTCTAAATTATTTTCAGCTGTCATTTTTTTCCTGCCGCTATTTCCCTATGTAGAAAAGAACTGAAACTACAATTCTAAATTCTTCTTACAGATATAGGAGAGCTCTTCTTAAATTATTCAACCATTCCTATGTGTTTCTTTGTCAAAGATGACTTTAAGATGTGATAAATACAGCCTTTTCTAATTGCTTTCATAATTTCTCCATCAACATGGATAAGTCATTGACTTTACAGATTTGAGTAATATACCTGTATGTATATGTCCTACATATAATTCAGTATAACTCAGTGAATTAGATTGTATCCCCTTTGCAGCAAAACTTTGTCACTAACGAAAATACCATTTTCTTATATAGAAATAGAGAATCCATTAAACATTTGCATATTTAAATATTTAACTAAAAATACCAGAAATGTGGAACAGTGGGTTTTCCACTGTAGTTAGTTCCTCTAGCTCTTCTTTCTTTTTTCTCTATTACTCTTGACTGTTTTGCTGACAGACACTGGCTGATGACTAGTTTCAGTTTTAACAGTATTTATTCTCTCTTTCCACACTCTAGGCATTTGAAAATATTTTTTATTTTTATTGTTGTGCTGGGGGTACATTGTGGCATTTACAAAAGTTCTTATAATATACTATACTTGAATTTGCCCTCTCCATCATTCTTTTTTACCTCCCCTCCCCAATTCCTGGAATAGTTTCAGCAGGTCTCATTTTTCCATTTAGATACATGTGTACACAGTATTTGTACCATATTCACCTTCCTACACCCTTTCCCCACATCCTCCCTCCTCCCACTGGTACCAACCCCACCTCAGACTGGAATTTATACAGTTAAGATGTTCACAATTTAAAATATAAGCTCCATCAGAGTTTTGTTTTGGGGTTATGGATTTTATTTCAGCAAGTCTGAGGGGTGTTGTTTTACTGAGGAAGGAAGAGACAACTTCCTCAAAAAGATTTCTGAAAGCTTGTTGTAGGAAGAGTTTTGTGAAAAACATGTAGGGCTTTGGTGATTTTTTTTTCACCTGAGGACCAGAAAGAAGGAACATGGAAATAGGAAACCCACCACCCCTGGCCCCAGATTGTACTGCTGTTTTCACAAAAGAAGAAAGACTGGGTGGTGGTTTGACTTAGGAACTTTTTTTATTGACTCTCCGGCTAGAGAGGAAAAGGCCAGATCTGAAGTCATTGCTGGTAGAGGTGGCATTTGTTTGTTCCTGTGGATTTCAGCAAGTTCCAGGCCATTTTTCATGCAGAGGGAGCTTTGTCTGCACTATCTGTTGCTGAGTTCTCTGACCTCTGAGGGGATTGTGTTAACAAGCTCTAAAGTGGAGACATGGTGCCAATGTTCACTGGTTGAGATGTTCAGTCACTTGTGAGATTTTATTTCCCTCTGATTGCTCAGAGGAATTTTCCTGACAAATGTTCCTTGGCCTATCTCTGTTTTTAGTTTACTGAGAACAGCTGTAATTTGTAGGCAGGCTTGTTCCATACATGCAACTCAGATACCCTATATATGAGAAAGAAATCTGGAGGTGGAAGTGTTTTTGGCTGCATGATCTATTTGATAGTGCTATAATTTAGGTACTATATGTTGACTACTGAAGCAGAATTTTTGCATCTCGCCCTCATTAGGATTAGGTTGAGACTGAGATGTTTACACTCTCTCAACTCTTTCCATATTACAATCTTACCTTAGACATCTGTATTCATAGAACTGCCCTTACTAGAAAAAGATGATTGCAGATAACCCAGCATATGCACTAGCATGCTCAGCTTGGACATGACTGACTTGGATTTAGGCATCCTATTGTATGGTCAATGGGAAATGGAGCAGCAGAGTTGAGAGGCATGCACCTGAGGCAGGGCTGTTGTCAGGAGCATAGCAACTGAGCAGTAATACACAGCACACAAGTGATTTCGGCAGTGATCTTGGAAGTAATTCCCTGATAGTGGATTTAGTGTCCTTACTTCATCTTTGGTATTCTTGGCAGCTGACATCTGAATGAGAAGACTAGTTGTGTAAAGAAAGAGAACTGGAAACAGATTTCTTGTTTCAAAACACTAAAAATTATGTGTTAGAAGTTGGAAGGCACAGCTGTGAATTGAAAGGCAGAAATTTTTAAAATTTGTTTTCAATAGGATGCTGTGAATCCTGAGATTCAAAGATCTAAATGAAGCAGTTGATATATAGAGCCACTACCACAGGAGGACTGTCCAGATTCTAGGATAAATCACCAAAAGAGCCTTGTGACTTGTAAAGAAGGTGGTCTTATCTTTCCTTCCTTCCTTTCTCTCTCCTCCCTTATCCTCCCCTCCCTCTCTCCCTCTTTTCTTTCCTTTTTTTTGATAGGGTCTTGCTGTGTAGCCCAGATTGGCTTAGAACTTGTGACCCTTCTGCCTCAGCCTCCAGAGTTCTAGGATTACATACGTGTGTCACCACACCCAGCTCCTTAAATGATTAAGTAACAAGATTTTTAAGTGGTCAAGGGATGATTTAAATTATCTTTGGTGTTCTTTCAGACTTATGGATCTAGATTTTATTATGTCCTTTCTACCTATTTGAAAAGAAATGTTAGTTTTTTAAAAATTTTGTCTTTTTCCTTTTGCCACATAAAGATACATTTACACATCCATACATTAACAAGTTTTCCTTTGTACTTTTTTTCCCTTGGAGTCATATTTGGTCTGATCTCAATTTGGATTTATTGATTTTTTTTTTTACATTCTCATACACAAATTTTTTTTTCCTGGGAATATGATCTTAAACTAGCATCTGCTTTGAGAGTAAGAGCATGCTGAGACACATCACTTATCTATTAAATTACATAATGCATCTATCAGTAAGTCACAGAACATATACTGAGAACATGTCCATATTAAAAGCCATCTGAAATTAAAAAAAAAACCTTGAAAGGTTTAAATAATAAACATTTCTGTTAAGATAGGGTCTTGACTTTACTATTTCTCAAATACAAGGCTATGGGTTTTAAAAAGTATTAACTTTGTTGATCCATAAGCATATTCTTCCAGGTACTTTGTCATTTTCTATGTGTCCTCGAATCTCCCCCCTCGCTTTTTTTTTTTTTTTAACAATTTTAGAGAAGCCAATTAGCCTGTTCTTAAAACTTTTTTTCTTTGCATTTTCCATGGGGAAAAGAAAAAAGGAACTCTCCAGTTGAAATTCCTTCTTTGTCATTCATGATGCATTACATTTAAACTGAGTTTCTCCTCCCTGTGAGGAAACTATACTAAGAACCCGTCCTTCAGGAATAAAGATTAGCTAGCTATTTGGCAATGAGTGACTAGATTATTTTGAGTTTTGCATGATAGGTAGCATTAGGTTAGTGCAGTGTTGCCTCACCTTTGTGGTTTATGTTCTAATATCCTTAATCTGGGGATTCTATACAACATTTACATTTTATATGTATATTTAGCATATCTGCTGTTTATATACAGTTTGATTTCAAATGAAAATATATTTTATATTTTGTGTCTGTGGTACTAGGGATAGAAACCAGGGCCTCACACAGGTTAGTCAAATGCTCTACCACTGACCTGTATCCCCAGATTTTAAAGATATTCTGATTTCAGTTCTTATCATGAACATTTTATGAAGGTGTTACATGATTACAAAAGAATAAGTAACCACTCTCCAGATTTATATTCAGTCCAAAACTTTTTAAGTGCTTTCATTTTGCTTGGATTATTATGGTCAGCCCTTATAAAAGTGGTATTGAATCTTTCCTTCAGAAAGAAAAGTAGCATGGGAACTTGTGAGGAAAAAAAGCAGCCAGATGAATTTAGGGAAATTTTTTCTTTAAAAATTTTTTTATTAGAATATATTTATGTATTAAAGGGAGGGAACAGATTTGTAATATATCCTTAGAGTTGTGATTTGACATTTACATGCTAGAAGTCTACCCTAAATTCTACTTCAGAAATCTGACCCCATTTAGGTTAGTGTGTTAGAAGATTATTGATACAATGAATCCATTCCCATACTTCTGGTATGTTCTCTCTTCTCTCCTTCAGTATCACAGAGTCTGAGGAACTAAAAATTACATTTCTCAGATTCCCTTGTGAGCTCGTGATTCTCTGACAAATTTAGTTTTTGTGAATATGAAGCAACCATCACTGAAATTTTAGGACGACAGAGGATGTAGACCCCATCTTCCTGCAGAACTGCAATTAGATAAACAAGCTCCTCCAGATAAGTGTTGACAATAGCTGGAACATATGCTCCACTATCTTTGAACCAATTTTGTGAATGCAGACAGTGGTAATGGTGATGGCAATTATGGTAGACGTGTCATGTGCATTTGAAGTCAAAGACTAAGGGTAGCTTCCTGGCTTTCATTTTTCCAAGTTACCAATAATTTTATAAGCATTTAATCCTTTGAGTTAAAATGTTTTACAGCTTTAAAAACTTGAGGAGCATCTACTTCATAGTTGAACCTTATCTGAGTCAGCATGCAGCACCAAATATGATCAAGAAATAGACTTCTAAAGATAGTATGGGATTGATATCTAATCTAATTGAGTTTATAGAGAGTGATACCTTCACATGCAGTGGGAAGTGAATTTTTCATGAAGCAAATAACTAAATTAGGACCTGTAGTCACCTAGAATGGAATGGCTACTAAAGGCAAGCCTTTGGCAGTGACTGCTGCATTGCACTATTGTGATTCAGATGAGGAATGTAGACTTGAGTGGCAAGGCTGTTTATGATTGCACTATGAACTCAAAAAGAAAATTAGAAGCTAGGTGCCACATGGTTCATGTCTGTAATCCTAGCTACTCAGGAAGCAAGAGATCAGGAGGATTGAACTTTGAAGCCAGCTCTGGCAAATAGTTCAAGAGACTCTCAAAAAAACCCATCACAAAAAAGGGCTGGTGGAGTGGCTCAAGGTGTAGGCCCTGAGCT